TGCTTAAACGAGATCGCGCAAGAGGACGCGCCGAAGTTTTTCGAAGCGAAGATCAAGCTGTACTCTTCGCTGGCGAATCTCGCGCTCTACTTGCCCAACATTGCGAAAATCTCGGAGGGCCGCTCCTACGAGGTGGCGCTGCAGTGCTTGAGCGCGCCGCAGCTGAGCAGCGAGTTGCGGCTGGACCTGGTGCAGTCGCTCGTCAACATGACCAAGACGTTTATCCCTGCGTTCCTGTTGCGCCACCAGGGTCTGATCGCGCACTTTCTGCAAATCATCGCGACGTACGACGGCAGCGAAAACGGCGTGATTCTTAGCGTGACGGTGTGCCTGACGAACCTGCTGCGCATCGAGGAAAACGTCCTGTGCTTTCTCGAGCTCGACGGCGTGCGCACGATCATCAACCTCATGACCAACTGGGCGATGAGCTACACGAAAATTCTGGAGCCCTGCCTGACCGTGCTCTGCCAGTACGCGGAAGTCGCGAACGTCGCGCCGGAAGAACTGCAGCACAACATACTGCACATGGGCAACGCGGTACTCGGCATCGAGTTTCCGACCGAGACCGAGGAGCAACGCACAGACGCGTTCGGCGCGCACCGCTTTGCAGTCAAAATGATGCGGCTGACGCTCGCGCGCGCGAGCCGCATCAACGTGCAGGTCTTGCAAGACTCCGGCAGTTTCACTAACTGGCTGTGGTACCTGGAAAACTTGAGCAGCGAGTCGTACGCGATGCTCGAAGAGCACATTTACTTCGGCGCCGCGTTGCTTCACGCGCTGCAAACGCTGAGTCGCGCGCCGCTCAGCGAGTTCCACATGCTGAACTTTCTGATTGACAGCAACTACACGGCTAGCGAAACGCGCAGTGCTGACAGCGCGCAGACGACGCCCGCCACAGACGCGGGCAACGGACAAACGAGTTCCTCAATCACCGAGCACTTCGGGCTCGACGCAGACTTGCTGACGCACTGCCTCGTGTGTCTATGCAGCGCAGCGAAGATCTCGATTCAGAAGCAAGACTGCGACCTGACGGTCGCAGTGTTCGCGCTGATAAACCGCTTCTTGTGCGGCGCGGTTGCTGAGCTCGGGCCGCGCGAGCAGCTGCTGAGCAACGAGAGCAGCTACATGTTTGGCGAGCTGGACAAGTGCATGGCGCTGTTCATCGAGCAGAGCTTTGACGCAGAGTTTCCCGACTACGCACTCATTTTCCAGCTGTTGGTGAACTTCCTGCACATCTTCGGCAACGAGCTCACGGAGGTGGCGTTCGGGCAGACCAGCAGCTTTTCGACGCAGCTGCAGCGCTGCATGGCGAGCATGTTGCCGGGCTTGAAAAAGTCGGTGCACAAGTTTTTGAACGAATGGCGCAGCATCAAGGCGGACTCGGGTGAGTCGTGGCTCCAGCAGTTTGCGTCGCTGAACGTTTCGCTCGACGCAGTGACCAACTGGCGACTCAGCTTACACGACGCAAAAACCTCCGAAATCCAGCACCTTACGGTGTTGCAGCGCGGCAGCGTGTGCGCGCTAGCGTCGAACAGCAACGCGGCGCACCGCTCGCAGATCTACTGGCGCGCGAGCCGCACGATGCTCGCGCTGGAGTGGGACCAGCTGGACGCAGTCAAGAGCCAGCTCATCGTCGAAGAAACTGACGCGCGACTGCTGCCGGTCGTGACGCCGAAGACGGAGAACTTTGAGCTGGCGCAATTCGTAACAATCGCGCGCTACCGCGTGTTGCGCGGCTGCTTTTTGCCTTCAGCGGTACACGACGCAGAATTGCGCGACACCGCGCTGACGCTTAGCGGCAAGACAGAGAAAATTGAGCAGCTGCTTTTACTGTTCCCGAACAAGTCACAACGCGACCTGACTTACTCAATCCTATCCCAGTGGAAACGCTCCATTGCGCTGGACTAACGGCGCGCCGTCTCGTAGAGTTTCACGTTGTTCTTGGACTTCTTGACCACAACGGGCCGCGCGCCGACGTACTGGTTATTCACGGTTTTGATTGCCTCGAGCATGTCGAACGGCGAGCCAAAATGCGCGAAGCCGTAGCCGGCAGATTTGCCAGTGACTCTGTTGATCACCACAACCGCTTTCTGGAACGTGGGCAGGTGGGCAAACGCTTTCGCAAGCGTTGCTTCGTCGACGTCAGAGCCGAGGTTCCCACAGAACACTTTGTACGACTCGGAGCCCGCAGTTCCCGGATCGCGCCGACTTGGAGCGCGCTTCTTGCTGCTTTTTCGGAGCTGCTTTGCGGAGCATTTATTCATATCTCCTGACTACAGCTTAATGTAATTTTTAGATTTTTGAACGCCTGACGGCACGCAGTCACAATCTCAAAGCGGATTCTTCACGCTGCTCCGCCGTCGTCGTGAGTAGCACAGAGGAAACAACTCCCCCAGCGGCGTGCGCGCAGGCGGGCCTGCAGCGAAGCGAGCAACTGAGCGCGCAGATGAGCGAGCAGCCGAACGAGCAGCCGAACGAGCAGCCGAACGGGCAACCGAGCGGGCAACCGAGCGGGCAGACGAACGAGCAGATGAGCCAGGGGCCGAGCGGACAGGAGAGCGCACAACCGGGAGCACAGGAAAACGAGAAGGACAGCGGGCAGGCCAGCGCGCAGGGCAGCGCTCAGACCAGCGCACAACCGGTCTCACCGTGCAGCACTTCTGCAGACGCACCGGTTACCGCGAAAACTGCCGCACATCCGTCTCGGCAGGCCGAAGGTCGATTCGCCGCGACGGCTAGCGTTCCGCTGGCAGCGCCAGCGAACTGCCGCGAAGTCGGTCGGAAGAGGCTTGTAGAAGCTGCAGTGCCCTCCGCAAGCGCGAAGCGGAGCCACTCCGTTCTGCTGAACATCAGTTTTAAGTTGACGACGTTCCAGAGCGGAGCGTCTGAGCGAGAGTCGCAGACGCCTCGCGAAACGCCGCTTGAGGCGAACTTGGTACTGAGCGGGCAGCTGGTGCCGGTCTACGTCAGCCCGAAGAACGCGGTTGTCTTGAGCGGACTGAAGTGGACGCTGCCCTATGCCGAAGTGCTAGCGAGTCTGCAGAAGATTGACGCGCTCAACTACTTGCACCTGTTTGAAGACGACTTTGGACACTCAGCGGAGATTGCGTTGGCCGAGTTCCGCAGCGCGCAAGACGTCGCACACTTCTTGAAGAACGCACACGTGTGGAAGTCGCTGAACCCGGAGTACGCGGAGGTGTGCATTGCGCCGCCGAGCTACGCGGTCGTCGAGCATGCCGCGAAGCTCAACGGCAAGTTCGGGCACTGGTCCTACGCGGGCAACGCGCTGCACGGACTGCGCAACACGATTTCTGCGAGCCACCAGCTGCCGCTGCGCTCTCCGGACTACTCCTTTGGCACCGCGCGCTGTTCCCAACAACTCGACACGTACTTGAATCTGATCGGCGCCATCTAGCCTCCGGCGCTGCGCAGCTCGCAGCGCGCACCGCTGCGACGTTGCGCGCAGTTTCCGGTCTCACCACAGTTCGCAAAGCGCGCGTGTGGCAATTTTAGCAACAGCCCGACTGCCGGCGCATTAAGCAGAATCGTACACCTGTGCTTTCATTCGTGCAGCTGGTCATGCCGCTGCGGCGCCCGCGCTCAGCGCCAGCCGGCCGCTTGCCCCGCTAACGCCTGGATGTGCAGCGCCCGATGCCGGTGAGCGCGCGAGTCGCGGCAGTGCTCCAGACGCAGCGCATATGTTGTTATAGCGCGTGCGCAGTCTGCGCATTTTTGGCGCGCAAAAGGGCAAAGGAAAACGACGTGCGAGCGGCGCGCGCCTCGTGCGCATCGAAAACGGGCAGCCGGCTACTTGCAGATAGTGGCTAGTAGCGCTCAGCGGCCGCACACGCGTACCTGCACAGACGAACTGCGCGCAGACGCAACTCCACGTCACAACTGGAGCTACCTGCGCGCGTTGTGCAGCAGCAGTGCGCTCTAGCGCGCGTCGAGAACTGTTGCGAGACAAAATAATTTACATGGTAGCGGTCGCGGGCTCAGCTTAGCGACGGCGGTCGCGGGCTCAGCTTAGCGGCGGCGGTCGCGGGCTCAGCTTAGCGGCGGCGGTCGCGGGCTCAGCTTAGCGACGGCGGTCGCGGGCTCAGCTTAGCGACGGCGGTCGCGCGGCGCCTCCGGCGCCTGCACTTTCACGTACTCAAAGCCGACTTTCAAGTACTTGAGCAGCGCAGCGGTGTCGCCGTCGACCTCGAGCGGCCCCTCATTCGGAACGTTTTCGGGCTCGGCGAGCGCTTCGCTGCGGCGCTCCGACTCGGCCTGGCGCACGTTGAAGCAGATGCCGCGCACGCTGCCCTTCTTCAAACGCTTCATCGTGTGCGTGACGAAGCCGGCAATTTTGTTGCGCAGCCGCTTCGAGGGCACGGAAGCGACGAGGCTCGTGACGCGCTTGTTGTGCTCAAAGTCGCAACTCAGGCGCGAGTAGTAGTTCTCGATAATGGTGCGACCGGAACGCTTTACGGTTTTAGTGCGGACTCTACCCTAGAAGTGTTGCGCGGCGAACGGGCAGCGCCCGGCAGCACTTACCATAGTGGCGGTGGTGGTTGCAGCAATTAAATTTTTAAAAGAATAAGACAAGACGAGCACGCGGCCGCGGCGGCGCGCGTCCGCGCCGCTCAGCGCCGCGGTTGCCTCGCGCGCGCGGTCCGCGACGCGCCGCCGCGCACGGCGACTGAGGCGCAACGGCGGCGGCGCGCCGTAAATTATAATTTCACTCACAAAGAATTTCATTCAATAATAATTGATCGATGATGGCTCAAGCGAGCCAGTCAGCGAGTGATTATTATCCGCGCGGCGCAGCGGATCCGCGTTTGCGGGCTTCCGGCGCCGCTGATCAGCAGAACGCGAGGAGAGATCCGCCGCGCGCCGTGAGCGAGGTGTCGCCAAACGCGGTCTCTTGCTCCTGGAATCTGTGGCCCGCAACGCGTGACACGGCGAACGAGATCGAGATCCCGGTATGCTTGGCCTACACGCCGTTCACCGCGGAGCAGCAAGTTGCGTACCTCGGCTACGAGCCGGTGCGCAGCCGCACGGGCTTTTCGATTCTGAACCCGCACTGCGAGGTCGACTACAAAAGCAAAATGTGGAACGACACGATTGGCGGCATCAAGAACCAGTTCTTCCAGCACTACGCCGCGCAAATCAGCGAGTCCTGTTTGCCTTCCGAGCTGATTTCGCCGAGCGTCGACTACCTGCTCGGCAGCGTGCAGCGCCAGACGATCAGCTACTGCTTCGTGATCGACACGGTGCTGTACGAAGAAGAGCTCGAGCAGCTCAAGGACACGCTGTTGCAGCTCATCGGGCTGCTGCCGGCGGACGCGAACGTCGCGCTGATCACGTTTGGCGTCAACGTGGAGGTGTACATGCTCGGATTCGACAAGTGCATCAAAACCTTCACGTTCAAAGGCACGTCAGAAATTGCGACAAGAGACATGATTGCGCAGCTGAAGCTGTACCACGCGGGCCGCGTGAGCGGGCCAGACGGGCGCTACGTGTGTCGGCTCGCGAACGTGGAGGAGCTGCTGACGGCCGTGCTCGAGAACCTCTCCGTGCAGAACTGGTGCGTCGCGCAGGACAAGCGGCCGCCGCGCTGCACGGGCACGGCGATTTCCGCGGCGATCGGGTTGTTCGAGGCGCTGCTGCACGACTCGCCGTGTCGCATCATGCTGTTCATCGGCGGGATCTGCACGCGCGGCGCGGGCGCAGTAGTCGCGCCGGAAGTCGCAGTGCCGATTCGGCAACACCAGCACCTCGCGAAGTCTGGCGCGGAGCTGAAGCAGTTCAAGCAGGCGCAGAGCTACTACGCGGCGCTCGCGCAGCGCGCAGTCGCGGCAGGGCAAGCGATCGACTTGTTCTGCTGCGCGCTGGACCAGACCGGTCTCGCTGAAATGCGCAGCCTCTCGGAGCGCACGGGCGGGATCTGCGTGATGACCGACAGTTTTTCAATGAATGTCTTCCGCGAGTCAGTGAAAGAGCTTATGAAGGAAGATGGGGTGCACTACGCCTACGCGTACAACGTGAACCTCAAGGTGATCTGCAGCAAAGAAGTCGCGATCGCCGGCGCGCTGGGCGTGGTGACGAGTTTGAAAAAGAGCTCGAACTTCGTGGACAGCGTGGAGGTCGGCGAGGGCGGCACGTTCGAGTGGGCGACGGGCGTGATGCATCCGAGCACAACGGTCGCGTTCTACTTCAGCTCGCTCGCGAACAACGCGAGCGCCGTCGCGGGCCGGCAGGCGACCGTGCAGTTCCAGTGCCAGTACAACACGCCCACGGGCGAACGCCGGCTGCGCGTGCACACGGTGACCTATCCGTTCGCCAACGCGGGGCTCGCGCAGCTGGGCCCCGCGTTTGACCAGCAGACCGCGACGCTGGCGATGGCGCGGCTCGCGGTGCACCGCAGCGACTCCGAAGGCATGCTGGACACGTTCCGCTGGCTAGACCGCAAGCTGATCCGCGTGAGCACGATCTTCGGCAACTACCAGAAAGGCGTGCCCGAGAGCTTCCGGCTGCCGCAGGAATTCGTCTACTACCCGACGTTCATGTACCACTTCCGGCGCGGGCCGTTCATCGAAATGCTCAACAACTCACCAGACGAGACGGCGTTCTACCGGCTCTGTCTGCTGCGCGAAAACATCCGGAACACGATCACGATGATCGGGCCCACGCTGATCATGTACAACCTCGAGGACTGCGCGCCGCACCCGGTGAGCCTCGACAGCCTCAGTCTGAAGCCCGACTGCGTGCTGCTGATGGACTCTTACTTCCACGTGGTGCTGTGGCACGGGCAAGCGATCATGCGCTGGCGCGAGCAGCGCTTCCACGAGCAGCCCGAGTACCAGAACCTCAAAATGATCCTCGAGGCGCCGGTCGCGGACGCGCTCGCGCTGCTGAAAAGCAAACTGCCCTGTCCGAAGTTCGTGAGCTGCGCAGCGGGCGGCTCACAAGAGCGTTTCATCCTCGCGCGCGTCAACCCGAGCGTCGCCGTGAAAGGCCTCGCGGAAGACGCGGAGCAGCAGGCGGGCGCGATTCTGACGGAAGAAGTCAGCCTCGTCACGTTCATCCAGCACCTGGCAAAATTCGTCACCCGAATCTAGCGCATAATTTTCGTAATTACGGATTTCGAAATGCAGCCCGCCGCGACTGCGCTGGCGGAAATTGACGGCGTGCTGCAGCAACTCGCCGCCAGCAACGCGCAGATCGTCGCGGAGCTCGCGGCGACGCCCCCCTTTTGGGAGGCGCTGCTGCAGTTCGGCAAGGCGTTCGAGACGTTTCGCTACCACCAGAGTCTCGCGTGGCGCGTGCCGCTCTGGGTCTACAGCCCGCGCGTCTCGCAGGCTCAGGTAGGCGAAACGCCGCGGCGCGCCAAGGCGCAAAACCCGATTTTGGAGCGCTCCGCATCGCTCTACGCCGCCGAGCCGATCGCTTGCGAGTTCTGCGCGACGACCGCGTACGACCGCCAGCTCGCGGTGCAGGCGAGCCTCGCGACGAACAGCAACTTCATCACCGACTGCGAGTCCGAAGCGATCCGCAAGATCGACCAAATCAACCGCGCGGAGAGTCTGCAGGCGGCCGTGCTGCTGCTAAACCGCGTGAACCTCGGCTACAGCCCGACGCCCGCGGCCAGCGCCGCGGAGCTCAAGAAGGGGAAAGCGAAGCCAGCCGCGCGCAAAACCGCGCACTCGCCGTCGCTCGACGGTGCGCTGCACGCGGAAAACTCCGCAGCGGACCACTCCGACGAAAGCAACTCGGGCAGCGAGAGCGAGGCGTGCGTTCGCGCCACCGAGTTAGGACAAAACGCCAAGTCTTAATTTTAGCAAGCGAAAATGACTCACTCCTACGGCAAGCGCTCCGGCACTCGCTACAAGTTTGCGCGCCCACACCGTGGACACGGCATGCCGGCGCTTGGCGCGTATCTGAAGACCTTCCGGCGCGGCGACTACGTGACTATCAAGATCAACGGCGCGATTCAGAAGGGACTGACGACCGGCTTCTATCACGGACGCACGGGACGCGTGTTCGACGTCACGAAGAACTCCGTCGGCGTCGAGATCTCAAAGCGCGTGCGCTGGCGCATCCTGCCGAAGCGCATCCACGTGCGCCGCGAGCACGTGATCAAGAGCGCCGCCTGCGAAGAGTTCATACAGCGCCGCGCGCGCAACGACGCGCTGGCGCGCGCAAACGCGGGCAAGCCCGAGAAGGCGAACTATAAGCGCGACCTGTCTTGCGCGAAGCCCGCAGCGTTGGTGAGCGGCGAGGTCGTCGAGTTCACGCCGGTGCCTTTCAGCGTCTCCTTTTAGCTGCGCGATTTATGTATTCGTCTAAATTATTTAAGTTTCGCGAGTCTTGCAGCGCAGCAGATGGGTTCAGAGCGCACCGCGGCGCAAGCCACGACGTACATCGTGGAGGTCGCGAGCGAGAAGGTGCTCTGGGGCTTCGCGAGCGCGGAGAAGCCCACTGAGGCGTTGGAGAGCTGCTGGCTGCGCAGCGGCGAGGAGTGGCTGCCGCGCAAGCCGAACTTTCGAACCCCGCTGGAAGCCGCGGAGCCTCACTTCTGCTTCGTGCCCGCGAATAGCGTGCCGCTGTTCGCTGCGTTCAGCGGACGCGCGTACGCGCCGTCGAGCTTCGCGGCAGACAAGCTGCCGAGTGAGCTGTTCTCGGTCGAGCCGTTTAACGCACTGCTGCGGCACGTCGAGCGCTTTTACGACGCGCGCTACCCGCTGAGCGACGCGCGCGCGTTGTTCATCGAGCCCTCGCACCGCTCGGACCTCGGCAAAAAGCACTTCATGTCCGAAGTGTTCGCGAGCCACGACGTCGCGAGCTTCTTCTCGCTGCGTCGCGCGCCTGCAGTCGCGCTCGCGGTCGCGCGGCCGACCGCACTCGTCGCGGAAATCGACGGCGCGTCGCTCTCACTCTCGCCGGTGTTCGAAGCGTATAACTTAATGCACTTCGCGACGCGGCACCACTTCGGCGCGCAGTTCTTTGACGCCGCGTACGCGGCGCACGCCAACTTGTTCAGCCTCGAAGAAGAGCGCTGGCGCGAGTTCAGTCCGTACTTTGCGGCGGACGCGCTCGCGGCCGGCGCCACGCCGACTCCGCGCTACGCGACCGCCTCAAAGGCAAAGCTCGCCGCCGACATGCGCGCCGTGCACTTGAGCTTCGGCGAGCGCGCCGCCGCGAACGAGCTCGACGAAGAGAAGAAGCTGTACGAGCTGCCCGACGGGCAAGCGATTACCGCGCCTGACGAGCTCACCGCACAGCTCGCAAGCTTCTTCCTCGCTGGCGCGAAAGACGAGCAGTTATCACGCGCCGTGCTCGAGCGCAGCCCGAGCCTCGCGCCCATTTGCGCCAACTGGCGCGGGCTCGCGACGGAGATCTTCGACGCCGTTTTCCGCTGCGACCCAGAGTCCGCAAACGCGCTCTCGAGCAACATTCTCTGCGTCGGCGCAGTCGCCTCTGCGCCTCACTTCCACGCGCGGCTCTCGGCAGAGATGTCGAAAATCGTTACGCTCAACTCCGCCGCGTTCGACCAAAACTCGCCCGCTGCGAAAACGCGCTACATCGCCAGTCTGAAGAACAAGGTCTACAGTCTCGCGCCGACCGAAGTGCACGCGACTGCGTGGCAGGGCGGCAACGCAATTGCGTCTGTCAGCGGCTTCGAAAAGTACTGGATCACGCGGGAAGAGTTCCAGGAGCACGGCGAGAGCATCCTCGACCGCAAAATCACGTTTTAGTTTCGTCCCAGCAGTCGCTCAGCCACGCCGGTACCTTCCCCGCGGCACAGCGCGCGCTCGCCGGCGCCCGCGGCGACGGCTCCTCTTCGCAACTCAGCAAGTCCACGCACGGACCGCAGAACGCGCTGCCGCTCAGAACGGCGCGCTGTTGCAGCAACTCTGCGCGCGCGAGCGCCTTCTCGCTATCGAGCACGCCGGACATCACGACGTCCGTGAGCGACGCGCTCTTTCGCGCAGTGCCCATAAGTAGCTCCTTCACCTGCCTCGCGCTCAACGCGTCGTTCGCAGCGCGCACGCGCAGCGCAGCCGCGCTCACCTTCGGCGCCGAGAACGAAGTGCCTCGCAGCCGCTCGCCGCCCGCGCAGCCGCCGGCTTCTGCGCGAGCAAAGATGTGCACGGCGCGCTTCCCAAAGTTTGAGTACGGCTCGACGCGGTTCTCCTCGCCCACTGAGCCGACGATCAACAAGTTTTCGCTGTCCGCGAGCGCGGCCCAGCTAATCTCGGCGTCCGCGGCGAGCTCCGTGCCAGCGTTGCCGGCAGCGGCGACCACCAGAACGTCGCGCTCGCGCGCGCGCGCAAGCGCTTGCGCTAGCGCGCCAGCGTCTGCCGCAGGGCCGCCGAGACTCAAGTTGATTACCGCCGCATTCATGTCCACGCTGTAGTTGATCGCGTTCGCAATCGAGACCGACTTGCCCGCGAGGTCCGCGTCCAACGCCTTCACGATCATCACCGCACAGCGCTCGCAGTCGGCAAGCTCGCGATCCAGCGCGCAAGCAACTGCGGAACCGTGTCCGTTGTCGTCAAACGGCAGTTTGGAGTTGTTTACAAAGTTCCAGCCATAGCAGTCGTCCACAAAGCCGTTGTCGTCGTCGTCCGCGCCGTTGAAACAGCTGCGTTCGCCGCAGTTCGTCCACAGCTTGCGCAAGCTGAAACTGTCGTCGAATTTCACGCCTGAGTCAACGATCGCGACGATGACTTCGCCCGCTGCGCGACAACCGCGCGCAATCGCAACACTCGTGTCGGAAGCGCTGTCGAGCCGTCGAACCCCGGCAGCTCCGCGAATTTCGCTCTGGCGCGCTTCGCTGCTTCCGACGCGGCGCGCGTCAGTGCTAACGTCTACGAGCGCTGTGTCCTCAGCGCAGTCGTCTGCCAAAAGTGTACTGCCAGCCACTCTGAAAGCTGCGGCGAGCACCAGGAAAAGTGCAATGCGCGCGCCTGTCCGCACCGCTCGATCTGCCGTCGTTCAGCGGGTGCGAAGGACGGATCGCGACAAGCAACGGCTGTCGCAGGCCTTACGTTCTGTTCGCGCTGACTTTTCTCGAGCAGACTGGCTGCCGGCTCGCCGATCGCGCAGACGCTCGAAGTCAAGCCACGAATTTGCTCGGCGTTCGCGCCCACCTGGTGTCGTCAAAATGCGGAAAACTTTCGAAAATAGCCTTTTTCGCGTCGCGCAGAAAAAAGGTCACCTGAAAGCGCCCCAGCTCGTGCTCGAGCTGCCGCAACACTTCGTTCGCGCACTTGCCACCCGCGCAGTCCGCCGCCGGCACAGCGACCCAACGCAGGCAGGTTGGCGCCGCGGCGCGACTCCGCGCGCGCGTCTCGTCCGCAGCGTCCACGATCGCGCCAAAGTCGTACTGCGCAAACGGGTCGCGCAGCTCGTACCCGGGCGGACACCAGAGTCGGCCCTTAAACGCGCGCGCGAATCGACAGTAGTGCTCCCGCACCGTCTTCTGGCCGAATGCGGCTCCGCGTCGCGTGTCCAGCGCGTAGTGCTCCGCGCAGTAAGGCAGCGGCGGGTAGCGCACGCGCAGCCTGCAGACGGCAAAGAGCGGCGCGCCGTCGCGCGCGCGCTGCACGCTTTCAACCTGCTCCTCTGCGCGGCAGCCAGTTTGCGGCGAGAGCCGCACGAAGCGGCGGCGGAAAGTCTCGCAAAGCTTCGCCGCAGAAAGATTTATCGGCTTCGCGTTCGTGCGCACGAAACGCAGCTCTGCGAGTTGCGCGTCGGCGCGCGCCGCGGACCGCAGGGGACAGCCGGTTTCGGCGCCGAGCGGCGTCGCCGCGTCGACCAGTCGATCGCTTCGCCGCGCGCAGCGCAGCAGCACGCCCGAGCGCTGCGAGAGAAAGCAGAGCCCAGGAAAGCTCGCGTTGAACGCGGGCTGTCCAGTATTCGGAAGTAAAGAGCGACTCTTTTGCAAGAAACATTCGGTGAACGGCTCCGCGCGGCTCTGCACGAGACACAAGTCGCCCAGTTCGAGCCAGCCTACGGGGCACGCAGAGGCGGCAGCAGCACCGCCCGCAACTGCAGCGAGTCGAAACGCTGGCGCCATTTCGCCGACGCTGAGAAGCCGAAAAATAGGGTCACGCGACACACACAAAATTAGCAGTTCGGCATCCGGTCGTACATTCGCCGCTCTTCGCGCATCTGCGCCTTCGTTTTCGCGGGCTTCTGAGCGCTTTCTTGCTGGCTCGCGCGCCGCAGCGCCGAGAGCTTCTCCTTGACCAGATGCTTCTTGCTGCTCACGACAGGCTCCGGCTTCGCCGCCTTGCGCTGCGCGCTCGGCGCAGTCTTAAAGCTGTCGAGATCCAGCAGGTCGAGGTCGTCCTCTGGCTGCTGCGGCTTGCCGCGCGCCTTGCGCGACTTGCTTTTCGCCTGCGCCGGCGCAGCGGCAATGCCGACGCTCACCTGTTCCGGTTCGTGCTCGATCTCTTCGCTGCAGTGGTCAGACTCGCTGCTCGAGCCCCCAGCGCCGACGTCCGAGTCGTCCATGTCTGCCCAAGCCTTGTCCTTCAAACTCGCGAGCTCGGTCTTGACTTTCGCCAGCCGTCGCTCGCGCTCCTGCGCCTTGCGCTTCGCCAAGGCAGAATCGCGGTGAAATTCGTCCTCGGCCGTCAGCAGCGAAAACGTGCCCATCCGGTGGAAGCCATCTGCTCTCATTGTGGCGCTCAAGTCAGTGAGCGTGAGCCAGAGAAAATTTGCAATAAGCAAATATTAAATCGCCAGCGATAAAACAAATATACACAGCGATCAGCGAAGCGGCCTAACGCGCCTGTAACTTCTGGTAGTGCGTGAACGCACGTTGCTGCTTGCGCGCGGCGGCCAGTCCCAGAAAGTTCGCGCCAGCTGCGTAGAGAATTGCGACGTAAAAGAACTGGAACCTGTGGCGCTCGCAGAAGGCTGTAAAGAAGAACTGCACCGCAAGCAGCACCGCGCGCACCTCAGGGGTTGCCGTAACCTTCAGACGAAATTCTGCGGCGAGCGCGACGCCATCGATAACAGAGAATAGCGCTAAGCACGTCCAACTCGGCACAAAGCTGTCGAACCATCCGGTGCGCCACCTGCTGTAGGCGAGGTGCGCGAGACAGCAAAAGTTCATAAGGAATGAAACGGCGAAGTAAAGCACCGCCTGCGTCTCTGCGTTCATCGTGGTCTTCTGCGCACTCGAGAACCAATGAATTTGCATCACAGCACACAACACAAAGACCGCAAACCCAATCAACTGCAGCTTCCAGAAATGAGAGGTGAACACGTAGAGCAAGTTGAAGCTGACGACCGCGAGCACCACGGAGTAGAGCACTGCGATTTTGCCGGTCTTTGCGCACGCGAAGTTCCAATAGATCGTCGCGACTCCGAGTCGCGCGAAGTCTAATGCGCCTCCCACGGCGTGACCGCAGAAAGAGGGCACCACCACGGTTGCGATGAAGGCGAAAGAGCTGGAGAAGCACCGAACCAAGCCCACGTTGAGCAAGTCAAGGTTGAATCCTTGGAGCGTTTCCAGCTCCGCAACTTTCAGTAGTTCCCGTTTACGCTTCTTACGACGATAGCGCGCACAGGCGAGCAAAAGCGCGACGAGGTGCGAGCCGGCGTTGAGCGCCACGAGGTTTGGAAGCAGCGCACTGAGCTCGAGCGGCAGCCGCGTCAGGATCGCAAGCTTCCAAAGCTGCAGCGCCGCGACCAACAGCACAGAACGACGGAACCAGCCGGCGTGGCGTAGCTGCGCGATCTCGCTCCCCAGGCCGTTCAGTATGCCGCTGACTGCAGCTCGCGCTGCGGGCGACTGGGGCGACTCGGGCGCCTCGCCGCCGAACGCGCAAACGGGTTCGCTCTCTGGCGGCTGCGCGACGAGGCTCAGCACAGGGTCGAGCAAGTAATTCGGGTACTGCTGGAGGTTGGACATGGTGCGCCTACTCCCTATTAGTACAATAAAAATGGAAGCGCCGCTAAATTACGAGATTTATTCGCTTGCGCTTTTCTTCTCGGCGCTGGCGATCGCGTGCGTCGTGCGGTTGCCGCGTCCTGCGCTCGCATCGCCCGGCGAGACTGAGTGCCCGAACAGCGCAGAGAGCCTGCTCTCGTCGAACGAGGTCACGATCTCGCCACGACACGTGAGCTACGAAGCCGCGCTGGCGTTTCCCGCGCTGTGCGCAGACGTGTCTTGCGTGCAGGTGGCTCGGGTGTTGCGCAACCGCACGCAGCCGCTGCGCACGTAGCGCCGCGACGTTTGCAGCCAACGAAACCTAGGCGCTGGAACTGCTGAGCGCACTGTTGGCGAACTGCGAGCCGCAGTTCGAACAAATGCCTTCTTCGGCGGACTTCGACTCTTTGCAGCAGGCGTCTGACTGTTTATAAAAATGCGTGTACGAGTATTTAACTTCGGCGCCCGCGCAGTCGGGCGTGTCCGCGGCGCAGCGGTGCGAGAGGTGTTGTGGTTGCGCAAGCCCGCTAACGGCGTCGGCGCAGCCCCAGTCGACACGCGGCTGCGAAAGCTTTACGGTGCGCGCGCGGCGGTCCCCTTCGTACTCCATCGCGAAGATGCTGCGGTAGAGGTAGGACTCCGCGTCGGTGGGCGTGTTGTAAGGGAAACGTTCGGCGGCAGTTGCAAGCAGCTCCGGCGCAATGCGCTGCTTCGCGTAACGCGTGATTTCGGCGGCGTAGCTGTAGCCGACGCCGTCAGAGAACTGTTCGGTCTGGCGCCAAATAATCTCTTCAGGCAGGCAGTGTTGGAAACTTTGGCGCAAGATGTACTTCTCGACCTTGACGTCGCTATTACCGAGCTGCTGCGGCATGCGGTCGCGGCCGTTGATCGTCATCGCGTAGGTGACAAACGGCGAGCCGAGGAAGGGCGCGCGCAGCTCGCAACTCTGCGCGAGCGACGCCTTGTTGGCGCGCAGCCCGTCGCCGAGGTGGCAGTCTAGCAGTCGACGCGTAGTCTCGAGACTGAACTCCTCTTCGTTCGGCGCGTCGTGGAAGTACAAGTAGCCGCCGAAAATCTCGTTCGCGCCCTCGCCGGAAATGATCACTTTGTAGCCGCTGCTGCGCGCCGCGCGCGCGAGGATGTACATCGGGACAGCCGCGCGAATTGTGCTGACGTCGTACGTCTCGAGGTACCAAATCAGCTCGGGCAGCAAGTCGATCGCCTCGTCGACGCGGAACACGATCTCGGTGTGGTCGGTGTCGAGGAACTGCGCGACGCGCCGCGCCGCGACCAAGTCGTGCGAGTCTTCCATGCCAATGGTAAACGTCTTCAGCCGCGTCTGCGGCGCACAGTCTTTGTAGTACCTCGTAATCAGGTAGCACAGAATCGAGCTGTTGAGCCCGCCGCTCAGGAACGCGGCGATGGGCACGTCCGCGTTCATGTGGTAGCACACAGACGTTTGGAGCCGCGCGTAGAGCTCCTGAGCGTCGAAAGGCAAGTAGTTCAGCGAGCTCCACTGCGGCTTGTAGTACTCGACAATTTTGTAGTTGAGCGCGTTGCCTGTCATGTAGCAGCCGGGCGGGAAGATCGTGACGTCCGGCGAGAGCACGCACTTCATCTCGCTGGCGACGAACAGCCGGCCGTCGGCGCCCTGGCCATGGTAGAGACTGCAGAGCCCGAGCCCGTCGCGCGCGACGAAGAACTCGCGAGTCTGTCGGTTGTAAATGATGAAGCCGAACATGCCCCACAGCAGCGAAGCGCACTCAGTGCCGAACTCCTCGTAGAGCGCCAAGATGACGTCGCTGTCGGAGCGCGGGCAGTACGGCGCGCCGCGGCGGTTGGATACGAGCTTTGCAAGTTCTTTGTAGTTGTAGATTTCTCCGTTTGCCGCAAGAATTAAGTTCTGGTCGGCGCTGACAAGCGGCTGCTTGCCGGTGACGAGCCCAATGATGCTCAGCCGCTCCTGCACAATGGCGAAATCGTCGCCGGCGACGACTCCGGTCGAGTCGGGGCCGCGGTGCCGCTGCTTCCGCGAAGCCTGGTACGCGAACTCTCTCAAGCACGTCTCAACTACTCCATCAGGCAGAAAAACACTGAAGATGCCGCACATTTTTTATAAACAAAATCTGCGAATTTGCCGGAAATTTTGCAAAAGTTGCAAAATTAGCGAACTAATTTCGCCGAGCTAGGCGCAAAGTTCGCTGCGGCCGAGCGCGGCGATCAGATCGCTAATCTGGCTGCGCGGCGCGAACGCAGGAAGCCGCCGGCTTGCGGCAGTTCGCGCGCGCCTCGCAGCCGAGGGCATTCGTCGCGAGGCTCCGCTGCGTACGGCGCGCAAATTGCGCAATTTCACGCGTTCGTGGCGCCGCGGAAGCAACTCGGAAAAACGCGAGCAGATAAGCGAAATTTTTAAAATTTAATATCAAACGATGTGTTCCGCTCACATCAACTGGAAGCGTGCGTGCGCTTCCTGGGCGCTGGCGTTCGCCGCGCTGCAGATCGCGTCGCCGCTGTTGGTGCGCGTGTTCGCCGGCTTTCAGGCGAAGTACTACTTGGGGCTGTGGAACGTGGATCTACCGAAGGGGAAAATCGCGAGTTTCGTGCCCAGCGCAGCGGACGTCGTCGAGGAGGCGCGCCGCGTGCAAGAGCTCAGCGGCGAGCTGATCGCGACGAAGTACTTCCGCATTTTCCGCGTGGACCTGAACAAGCCTTGCCCATTTTGGGCGCGCAGCGACTTGTGCGCGGTGAAGCAGAGTACCTGCTCAGTGTGCGAGTGCGACGAGCACGAAGTGCCGCGGCTGTGGAAAGAACAGCCCGTCGTGCACTATGTGGACCGGCAGACAGACAAAATCGTCTGGAAGCAGCGCGGGAACTTGCCCTTCCTCTCGGGCGCGGCGGGCCAGCTCGAACAGGCGTTCGTCGACGCGCTCGCGAGCGAGCACGCGGTGTACGTGGACCTCGAGCGCAACCCGCCGGTGTACACCGCGTACCGCGGCGCGCGGATTTGGTCGCTCGCGCGCGGTGACGGCTTCGCGCCCGCGCTGCCTACGAAGGACCAGACGTACTACCTCGCGGCGCTCAGCGGACTGCAAACTACGGTCGGCACGACTGCGAGCGAGTACCACAATTACGGGCCCTACCCCGGGCTGAGCGAGGCGATCTACCGCTTCGTGCACTCGAACCCGCTGACGCGCGCCGCGTTCGGCGCGCTGTTGCCGCTGCGCGACGGGCGCTTTCCGTACTCGTACAACTTTGCGATGTTCGACAAACAGATCAACAACCGCGAATACATCGCGAACCTCTACGCAGTGTTCAGCTTGACGATGCGCGTGGTCAACGAGCTGCGCCCGGTGATCGACATCTGCCCCTGCGCCACGGACAACCTCGCAGAAGACAAGCGCAGCCGCGAGCTGCTCGAGCGGCTGCTCGACTACATCGAACACGACTCGCAGAGCGGCAGCATGAAGCTGAATCTCTTCTCGGTGCCACAGAGCCAGCTAATGGAGCGCGCAGTGAAGATCTTGAACTTGATCGACTGCGTCGAATGCGAAATGTGCCGGCTGCACGGCAAGATCAAGGTCACGGCGCTGCAGGTGGTGCTGAAGACGCTCGGCAACGACACGTGGGCGAAGGTGAAGACGATCGAGAAGAACGAGCTAAACGCGCTGATCAACACGCTGAAGTACTTCGCGGATGCGATCGTGGCGGTGCAGAACATGCAGCGCCGCGCGACCGCGCTGCGCTCGCTCTTTTTCGCGGCGCTCGCCACCGTCTACGCCCTGGGCTGTGTCTGCCGCAGTGCGCGCGCGCGCGCGGCGCGGCGGCCAATGCAGCCGCTCCACGTAAAAAAGACGCAGTAATTTCGCGTTTCTAAATTGATATTTCCGCCGTGGCCGAGATGTTCGACGGCGCGGCGCCGGCCTCGTCGCGCGGCGCGGGAAGGGTGGCGCGCGACGGCGCGGCGCTGACATGCTGCGCGCTCTTCTGCGTCTGCTCGCTCATCGACCTGATTGTCGAGGACTTGATCGCGCGCTACACGCAGTTCTTGGACGCCGCGGAAGAGGAGTACCGTACCTACGAAACGCTGGTCGTGCGCGCGTACGAGCAGCACGACTTGAACACGGTGCTGCACCTGGTCGAGCACAAGACGCCGACCTACTGCGCGGCGGTGCAGCAGCTGATCAACCGCGGCGCGGACTCCGCGGGCCGCGCGCTGGGCAAGATCGGCAGCGACTACTTGAGCCTCGAGTGGCTCGGCGCGCAGGCGGCCGCGCTGCTCGCCGCGCTGGCCGCAGCAGAAGAGCCCGCGCAACCAACGCCACTGCTCGAGAAGAGCAGCCGCACGCCGTCCGCCGCGTTCACGCCGCTCGCGAACCTCAACTCGATCGCGCCGCGCGTGCGCGGCGAGCCCGCGCCCGCACGGCGCAGCGTCGCGCCCGCGCTTGACGCGAGTCTGCAAGCGCTCGAGGCGGTCGAGCAGCGCGCGGGGCAAATCAAAATGACGCCGCGGCTCGCGAACGCGCTGAGCGAGTTCCAGCGGCTCAGCGAAGAGCAGAGCCAGGCGAAGGCGAAGCCTTCGCGCTTCAACCAGCTGATCCGCAGCCCGCTGCTGCGCATCCAGGAAACGCTGGGGCTCACCGCGAAGCAGCAAAAATTCACAGAAACGCAGACGCACACGTTCAGGTGTTACCACCGGCGGCTGAAGTCGCTGGGGCCCAAGAGCGCGGCGGATAACCTGATCTTCCAAGATGAGTAAGTGCTGCACGCCGCGCCGCAGAGACCTGAACTTCGGTATCGCCGCGGTCCCTGCCTGGGCGACCACCGAGAAACTAATCGCCGCCGTCAACGAGCAGCGCTCCTGGAACCCGTACACGATCTTCGGCTGCGGCGTCAAGACGATCCGCTTCGAAGACGTCTTTGCGACGCCCGACTTCACCGCGGAGAACATCGACTCGGGCAGCCGCAAGCAAAACCGCCTGATGCGCTGGTACACGGACAAGTCTACCTGCGGCTTCAACGAGACGCTAGTGTAAGTGCCGCGGCGCGCGACGCAGCATCAACGAAAACATGCTCAGCGCGATGATTGCGCTGCTCAACAAAACGAAGGACTTGTCCGACGTGGTCTACAGCGCGCAGTGGGACCTCTGCACCGCCGCGTGCAACCACGACAAAAACCGCAACCAGCCCTGGATTTACAAAGTGCAGGAATGCTAGTCGGAGGCGCTCGCGTCGTCCGCACTGAGCTCCGCGTTGGCGCGGCCGCGCTCGTCGGAGAAGTCCAGCTCGTCCTCGCCGAGTTCCGCAAGCAACTGCGCGATGTCAACTGGCTGCCGTTCCATCGCGTGAGCGTCGCAGTGTGCAGTCCGACTGGTCGTGAATTACCGCAGAATTAATTCCGCCGCAAAAATCCGAACACACATAACACGCCAACGTGCCGAACGCGACTTCCACGTTCGCGCAGAGTCCCAGCAGGTCTAACACGGTGGGGTGCAGTTGGAACTCGAACGCGCAGGGCGCGCCGCAGTCCGGGCAGCGCGGCGACGCGGCCAGCGCGCCGCAGCTCGAGTGCCACAGCGGCTCCGCGGCGCCGTAGCGCACCACGTGCGGCTCGTGCCGCTCGAGATAGTCGAGGTACGCGTCCAGCACCGGGTCCATGTGTGCGCGCTGCAGCGCCGCGAGCTCGTCGCCGAGCTCGAGTTCGCGCTCGAGGCTCGCCAGCGCAGCCTCGCTGAGCGCGGGCGCGGCGCGCGGCGGCGCCGCAGGCGCCGCGCGCCGCAACGCGCTCTCCGACTCCACGTACACGCGGAACTGCGGCAGCAGCGGGTTGAGCCGCGCCAGCCCGCGCGCGAAGTTGCGGCAGCGCAGGTGCTGCGCGCCGTTTGCAGCGGGCAGTCCGCAGTGCGCGCAGAGCAGTTGCGCAATGTTTTTTTTTCGTTCATTTTCTTTCTGCTCGCGTAGCGCCAAATACTCCGGCTCGCTCAGCGCGCAAGTCAGCGCCTTGGCGCGGCCGCCGCAAAACCCGCACTTGAAAATGTAGAGCACGCGCTGGAAAGTTTGCCGCCCGGGCTGCGGACAGTAGAGCTGCGCCAAGAACAATAACTCGCTTTTACAGCCAGCGCAGACCGTGAGCGCAGGGCTCGGCACGTACCGCGCCGAGAGCCAGAATGGCTTGCCGCCGAGTTTGTGCACGAAGCAATCTTCGAGCGAGCGCGGCAAGTCGTTGGCCTCTTCGTCAGTGTAGCCGAGGTAGACCTCGGACATGAAATTATATTATTATTAATTATGCTCGAGCAGAAGCAGTTCGCCGCGTTCGGCGAAAAAAATATTTCGCGGCTGCTCGGCGTCGCGCAAGAGGTTGCGGAACTTGCGGAGGCGTCGCCAAGCGACGCCGAACTCGATCGGCGCTTCGGCGCCGTCGCCGACTGCTCGCGCGCGCAACGCCGCGCGCTCTACGGCGCCGCGGAGGAGCGCGAGTTCGCGCGGCTGCAGCGGCTTGCCGCGCAGAACGCGGCGTTTATTTTTGAGTGTCTGCAAAAAAAAAGAAACGTCGTGCTCGCGGGCTGCGGCAGCAAGTACGTGTTTGCCCACCTGCTCGCGGCGAAGCTGGCGGCCGCGCGGCCGAGCGTGGTGCTCGACTGCTCGAAAGCCTCGGACCTCGCGCAGGTGGCCGACAGCGTGGTGCTGCTGCAGTGCTGCCACGACGCAGCGGCCGCGTGCTTCCTCCGCACGCACGTGTTCGCGGACATTGCGCGCGGCAACGCGACGCGGAACAACTACGTGTTTTTGCTGGACAATTTGAACGTCGCGGCGCAACTGCACCTCTGGGGGCTGCTGCAGTGCGAGTACGCGCTGCTGGCGGTCCGCTCGGCGGTGGACTACCGGGCGGAATTTTTGCGAACAAACGAATATTTAATAAAAGGCTTATTCGCGGTCCGCCCCGACGCGCTGACTTCTTCGGCGCGTTCGCCTGCGATCTTTTCTGCTTGCGCCGAACCGGCGCCCGCTGCATGCCCCACGCCGGCCGGTGACGATGCCAGCATGAACGCCAGCAAACCGGAGCGCGCTGCGCTCCCGCTCGCGCCGACGCCCGCGGCCTCGCCCGCGAAGGGC